ACACTTAGCTCTGCTGACGGGACTGGTGGAATTATTGTGTTTTCAGCATTACCAGCAAGATAGCGCATTGAGCATGCGTCGCCACGTTGCGCGACAGCCCACGCTCTAATCTCTCATGCGTACATTGCCCCGCTTAAACAAAGGGGTGACGCTCCCTCATGCGCCCTTATCTCGTAGAGAAGATCGTACGTTCTGGCTGACCTCGGGCCTTACCTGGAACAGTTCGGTTGTAGCTACCGAACGCAGAATGGTCACTGAAGTCATTTCAGTCTCTGTTTGCGAAAAGCGCGCGCTTTTCAGACACAGCAAAGTAATAACGGAGACTTTATTTCTGTGCATCTGTACCTGTGAGTATGTTTTGTGCGTCATTTGCGAGTCAGAAACGCGGGGGAGATTTTGATCTGCTTTCCATTCTGCGCTTGACCTTGCAATTTGTTGCTATCGCATTCATTGCTTCACCTTTGCAGCCAAGCCGTGACTTTTTTTGTTTTCTCACCCTTCGTGGACACTTTCAGTCATTACTACCTAACTTTAAATGAAGCGAGGACTGCACTTCTTTGCTTTAGAGGTTTTTTTTTCTTTTCAGGCAGCGATTACCAACAGTGACAAGTGCCTGCACCAGGAGATGACGTCACTACTAACCCCCTTAAAGCTAACACGCCAAGGATGACACGGCGCCTTCCAAAAAGATAAGTCCTCCTATCAAAGCTTAGGCCAGCCTGTCTGAGGCACTGCCACTGTTCACCCTGATTATCTCGCTACGTTGTTTCCACCTGAGAGCTCCCATGTTGAATTAGGATTTGCAAAGCAACTGTAGGTTATTTGGTGGCATTCAGTGGTATTGCTGCGTCGTAAGCTGATTCTTCTCAATTGTGATAAGACTAGGTGAGTGGAATTGCTCTCTAGTTATTAATTATTGAAGGTGGGCTACATCAGTACGTTTGTGTACTTAATTTCACAGTAGTGATTTAGCATATGCGATGCAGTTAGCAAAACGTGTCTATTGTCTACGGCTGAAAATACTTTCTCAGTCAAACCTGTTATGAGATCCTCAACAAGGCCATTGTTGGCACCATGTTTGCTCGCCGCTACTAGTGTGCGTCACCACTGGCTGCATAGTCACAATTTTTTTCTCGGGGGAGGGGGGGGGGACCACCTTGATTTTGGCAGGGCACTTTCTTAAAATGGCCATTTCTTGCTGTCTATGCCATGACGAAGAACATTTAGGGGGAGGATCATGTGCCTGGTGTGCCAGCCCCTGGCTACATCCCATGGTCACCACGATCCCACGAAATGATTAAAATAACGGAATATATTAAAATAGAGTGTGAAATTCAATTCCAACTCAGGCTCTGAGTCTGGCTGCCCAGTTTTCTGTCCCAGAGCTTTGCGGTGCTTGAAACTACCGTACAAAGTGACCTGTGCACGCTTTATGTCGCCCAAGGAAATGTGCTAACATGTGTAATCAACGTTTTAAAACAGTATCGCGAGAACTTGGCCACGGACAGGGTTAATTGCGTAGCGAGTCGGTCGTTGAATGCTCCAACTCATTAATAAAGCCTTAGAATAAATATTTATTTACGTCAGTCGCAGCATTAGTGAAGCACGCGCAATATCTTACAACTGAGGAATTAGCAACTGAATGGTTCCACCTAGCGAAGTCACTTAGCTGGGCTTTTTAGTCGACAGACGAACGGCACTGCGCCTAGCTTGGCGGTATGGCCAAAACCGGCTGACACATCTCCGACTGCAGCTGCTGTGGTTTGCTGCTAGCGAGACTAACTACACTCCTTACGTCGTCATAGCTCAAGAGAACCTGCTGTGGTTTGCAGCACCGCCAAAAAACCGCCAGGCCTGCGGGGAACGCGCAGCACAGTGACAGTGAAAGATAGAAGAGCGGACTTTCAGAGCCTTTTTGGTGCTCATCAGCATGAAAAATGTGTAATGGAAGCCACGTGGTTTTGCAGGGGGGGGGGGGGAAGGGGACTGACTGCTGCATTCCGTCGGTCAATAACAATGTCCCACAAACGCAAAAGTCCAAGTAAAAAATATGAGATTTCCACTGATATTGTACGACACAAAATGTAGGGTTAATGCCTCCTAGAAAAACTATGCCTGGAACGTCACACTCTTTTTAATTGGGAGCCTCCTGCTAGCACGCAATATCGGAGGCCATGCGTCCTGTCTTGGGTTGCGACCAGTCGCCGCGCGAGACCACTCGCCTCCGTACCGCTCAGTCACGTGACATTACCGTACCGCTCTGTCACGTGACATCACGGCTGCTCGGAGGCAACTGTGAGAGAATCGCTGTGTTCGCAGGGGGCGGCCGTCGGAGACGCTCGCCTCCGTACCAGAGGTGGAGGGTATGATCAGAGGGTAGGGCAGCGCGTTCGCGACTCACGTTACAGGCATAATTTTTAGGGGGCGTTGTTAGGGCATGACGTCTGAATTAACTTTGAGCCTCTAGGCTCTTGCAATGGTTCTTAAGCCTAAGCTCGCGGTTGCGCACAGCACTTCATATAAAGTACACTGTAAGTACAGAATTGTCACAGTTTACAGATAAAGACAACTCAGGCCTAATCGACTAATTACAGTACTGTAGTTGTGTGCCTACGAACAGCGCGCAAGTATGTGGCCTCGAGGTTAGTTTTTGTTTAAAACTCAGTCACTAAAGCGCTTCATTCGCACACCATTTATTAGTCTTAATGTTTGGGCGAATGCGGAGAGCATTTTGCGATGTTCTTGAGTCAGAAAGCGGCACCCACTTTGAAATTATTCTGGTGAATAGAGAGCACGACGACAATAAACAGTGCTCTGGAAAGTTGCCTTCACTAATAACATTTCAATGCATTAGCAACCGAGCAAGACCAAATTCTTTTGTACAACGTTTCAGGCATGCATAAAAGCAGTTAAACTCACACCGACATGACCGGACGAACCAACCTTTGAAAACGTGCCTGACGTGCACGCACATAGAAACGTGACGTGGCTATCAGACGACGCACGGAGCGATCCACACTTGCGCGCTTCAGCCATTTGCCGCCCGGCGGCGACACCGCTCGATCTCGTGGCAAAGAGGAGACGCAGTGGACGATGTCTTTACTCTGGCGTTGGTGTTGTGATGCAATGCGTCGGTGTTCTGTCTTGACTGAGCTCTATTCAGCTATTAGGTAGAATATTCAATCAGCACGTCTTGAGGGGCTAGTTGGTTTATTATTTAACGGGGGAAAATTGCGCAAATAAAGAAAAAACACTACAAAAAGGAATACGAAAAAAGGTCGAGCTCAAACTACCAACTGTTTTATTGATTGTAGATCGTGGGTTAAATAGAGAAACCGAACATAGCTGCACCGATGCGTCAAAGTGCATCACGTGCTAACGCACCTTATTCATCAAAAAGGACACTCCTGCTTTGTAGAACGATATTGAGGCCTCACTTGCACAGCTAAACTATTTCTCGGTAATGAGGAACGCATCGAAAACCTTACGAGGACACATGTTTCTGCTATGACCCAGTATTTTATTCTGCTAAAATAGTGCTTCACATGCACAGGCTGCGCATTGGGCAGGCAAATCACCCATTTCGTTATTTTTTATGGGCAGCTAGTGTTCCTGTAAACAGTCGTTCACGCAGCGGCTTGTGTGGCCCACATAAGAATTGCAGCAGGAAAGCGGAATTTCATACACAAATACCACATCGCATTGCACCATAGGGTTGGTATGCTTCTTGTTACATAGGTTATCACACTCTTCGCCGCTCGAAATTGGCACAACCTAAGTAATTTTGGAGCACAACCTTCAAAGTTACTTGGGGTGCCGAAAACATCATGCCAACTCTGTGGCGGTTACCAAAAGTGTTCTTTTTAATGAATAAGGTGCGCCCGCCACGGCGGTCTAGTGGTAAACGTACTCGGCTGCTGTACCGCAGATCACGGAATCAAATCCCGGCTGCGGCGGCTTCACTTCCGGTGAAGGTGTAAATGGTGTAGGCCCGTGTGCTCAGATTTGGGTGCACGTCAAAGAACTCCAGGTCGTCGAAATTTCCTGAACCCTCCACTACGGCGTCTCTCATAATCATATGGTGCTTTTGGGACGTTAAACCCCACATATCAATCAAAAACGAATAAGGTGTGTTAGCCTGTGATGTACCTTAACGCGTCTGCGCAGCTATGTTCGGTTTCCCTATTTAACTGACGATCTACAGTGAATAGAGCAGTTGGTAGTTTGCACTCGACCTTTTTAGGTGTTCCTCCTTTTTGGTGTCTTTTCTCTACTCGCGCATTTTTTACCTGTAAAGTAGAGTAGTCGACTTGATGCTTCATCGTACTCATCGTCCCGACGGTGATAGCTCGCCGTAAGCCCACCTCTCTCGCTCTTACACAGAGCAGCTTGGAACCCTTCCGCCTACAAGCAGTGGTTCCTTGCTGCATTTCATCAGGTTCACATGATCGTCACAAACAGGTTGCTCGTCACGTCCGAACTACGGCTTTTCGGTGTTCTGTACCTGGATCGCAATGCTACTGTGCGTGAAGGCTGCCACCGCAGCAGTAAATTCAAGGAACTCTAGCTGTCGTGGTAGCTCAATGGTAGAGCATCGAACGCGTTATCCGAAGGAACTCTATGTACTTAGTGTTTCGTTTTATGAAAAAACAACACGCCAAAATACTGTTAACCTGATACTATCGGCACACATGTGTCTCTCGTGTTTTAAACCAAGCCCTTACCATACTAAAGTAATACGGCTACGCATACCATGACGTGTCATTTGCGCCTAAAATAAACGCATGTATATGTTATTAATACGTTTACATAAGAACAATAATATTATCTCTCTCGCTATGGTGTATTTATGCTTATTTCCAAGGAACAGGCCAGATACGATTAGATGGTTGTCGCAATTGGTTCAGAAACAATTGTAAGGTGTGCCACACAGGTTATTGGCAGAGTACGTCACTCCATCGCAGCCTTTTCATTCTTTGTAAACATAAATTCATACTTACTTTTCCGTTAGGGCACACTGACTTTTCCACAAACATTGCCAGCCATAACACGGTAACGAAAGTGGTAAAAGAGCAGAACTTAGAGCTCATAATTTGGCAAAAAGGATCCGCTGAGACAAACCTACAACAAAACTTCGTGCTAAACTGGCTATGTGTGACTAGCGAGCCCTACCAAGAAGTTCTTATGACGCACATTTCTTTCGTGCCAGAGTAGTAGCTATGACCGACCTTCTGCCTACTAATAAATTATCTTTAGCTGAGTAATGCACTAACTTTAGCCTTATCACCACCTACGAGGTTTGCTGATCGCCTAAACGATGATAGATTTTTCCTAACTAGTTTTTAAAATGCTATTTCGCTTTCAGCGAAAAGCTGGCTAAATATAGCCGCACACATTTCTCAATTCTCACGAATGTTTCGCAAATATCTCAATGAATCGTGTTTTTGAAGGTTTTGTTCTTGTAAATGCGTTAAAATTACCCTTATTCCTATAAAGCACTAACAGAAGTTTTTTGTAGAATCCCGTGAAGTCCAAGTGCAAATGCCTTGTTTGCCTATGCACTTCAAGATTAGAAAGCGCAAGCAGTCACGCTTTCTAACGGCTATACCATAGTTGATTGCAGATAAGAATTTATGTAAAAACTAGGAACTTAAGCGCAGACAATGTCACGTGGCCGCTACTAAGCTGTCGGGCACATAAAGGTTTTGTGTGATGCAATAAACATGTTTACCTCAAAGCAGCAATGCTATACTAACAAATATATAGTGTAGAAGCGAATCTGGCAGGGCATTGATATGAACGCAATGTTCTAGAGAAGGTACATGAGCATTCGCAAGTGTTTCAGACAGGCCGGTCAAAGTTTAGATGGGAAGACATTTGCTTGTCGAAAACACTTCGTCATCATTGGTACGTTACATTTATGCTACATTGTGTCATTGACGTTGCTTGCGGTTTTCACAAGAATGAACTGTAAAAGTGATTCGATTGCTGAGAATTGCAGTGGTGAAGTAATTGGTCAAGCGATAAAAAACAGGGCTGATGCCTCCGTCACAGCAAATGGTATTCGACACTCTAAGCCGAAAAAGCCTCAAGTACACTATGTCGTTGGTCTTTTAAGAGACTAAATGGGCTGCCTCAGACTGAATGAATTTTGCACTAACTGAGAGAAACTGCAAGCGTTCAACTATTACCCCCTAACACTTACGCCACTTGGTTTAAACGTGGGGTTCGTGAAATGCTCCAGCGTGACTAAAAGTTGAACTGCCTGGACGAATTGAGAAAAAAATGCAACCCTGCTCCTGTAGGTAGCCTTTTCTGCTTATTTCTCCTTAATTAGCGCTTAAGAACGCTGTATATGAGGCATGCCGTATAGTTTCATATATAAGTACCTGGAGCAGAATCTGGCGTGCAATAGTGTACCCCCATTAGAATTGTAGGAAGTACCGGCTTCGGATCGGATCATGTTTGCTAGCGAGCTATCTACTGATCTTTTTGTACAGTTTCGGTTCCGTTCTGCCATAGCGTGGGCAGTGGAGTGCCGTGCAAAGAACTGAAACCACGCCATTGCTGTTCAAAGAGGATGAAGGCCTCTAGGATTCAGATTTGCTGTGCCATCGAAGCTTTACGAGTCGTATTTGACAGTTTCAGCTTAGCGTCGCCCACTTACCACAGCGTATTGAAGTAGCGTCTCATGCCAGTGCAAAGTGTTATTAGAGTGTACTAGAACTTTTGAGTGGCGCGACCGAAACGCTTTCCCCTTGCTTTCTCCATCCCCAACTTGCGGCGAAAGTAGCGGCGGCGCCGCCATCGCCCAATCTTCCCACTTGGTTTACTCGGCTGGCTCGGCGGCATGGCCGGCATCTCGGTTTTAGTCGCAAAATGACGAAGGAGTAGCGTCTAAACCATTGTTACGCGCCAGGTTGCACAACTGGATATGCGCGTGTGCAACAAAGTCGGAAGTTATCACTTTTTGAGGCCCCGAGAGACGAAGAACGACGACTTCTTTGGGAGCGGAACCTCCATCGGCTTGACAAGCCGCTTGACGCCGATTGTGCTGTGTGCGAGTTACATTTCAAACCGCATTTCATTGTGAAAGACTACGTACATGCTATCAATGGTGTTCAAGTCCGAATTCCTAGGGGAACGCCGACACTTGCCCCTGATGCAGTCCCGACGATCTTGCCTAACCTGCCTGCATATTTGACGCTCAAAACTCCGGCTTCGCGGACCCAAACAAAGCGGCGTCATCAGTGTGTGCCAGCTGAGAATGACAACAGAAAACGACGACGCATCAGCACTCCTGCACAGCTCCTTGTGGATACCAACGGTGCAACATCTGCAGATGGCGACGAAGCTGACGAGGCAAGCTCAAGTCCTTCGTCTGACGCGGTTGTCACTCTCGGTGACCTTCGAGGTCTTGTCCTACCATCAAAGTCATGGGCGCTGCACGAGTTTCCTGGATTTGCCGGCGTGTCGTACGTAGCGTGCTCACTGAAGGTCGCGGGTTCGATTCCCGGCTGTAGCGGCTGCATTTCCGATGGAGGCGGAAATGTTGTAGGCCCGTGTACTCAGATTTGGGTGCACGTTAAAGAACCCCAGGTGGTCAAAATTTCCGGAGTCCTCCACTACGGCGTCTCTCATAATCAAATGGTGGTTTTGGGACGTTAAACCCCACAAATCAATCAGCGTGCTCACTGAATCCTAGCACTCGTAAACTTTGCATTCAACGAGCCGCATACTTCAGCTGTGCAGACAATGGAATCGTGCAATGTGAAGCATTCGTGCAAGAGAAACTAATCAGCAAGTCCAGTTTAGTAACTGTTCGAGAGGCCTCAGATGCTCTGCAGCTTGTTGCAAGCGTCCCACTCTGTTGTGGAGCAGCAGAAACTTCATTTTTGCGACCATCGGACCTTACCCACGGTCTACACGCGCAAATGAAGTCAAGATGAAAAATCTTCTACAATGTCAAAAGTGCACAAAAGCACCTAAAATTGAGTAGCCTATAAATTGCTACAGTGGCGTAAAAAGGATGTCATTTTTCGTGCATATTTTCTTACACTCTTAATTTTTTGACGGTACACCAAGAAGAAAAACAATTTTTCCTAGAAGAGGCTTGTAAGCGAGAGAACGTGCAAATAATGACGCGAAATCTCAAAATAAATCTTTGATCTTGAATCTTTTTGCATTAAACCTGTGATGGTAAATTTAGCAGCATTGGGGATCTTGGTGCATACTTCATCGATCTAAGCCAATTCATTGTTTCACATCAGTGTTCCTTCAAACAATCTTTCGACCATAACATCTTTTTTTTAAATGCATTTTGGAAAGACAACATTAACTCTGTCGTTCTGTTTGCTTTGCTTTATGTTATCTCTTGTATCCTGGCTCTATATTTTACGTTTATTACAATTTACCTAATTGCAAATGTATTGTGTTATAAATATGTAAACCTTGCATTTTATGTTATCAATTATGATTAACATTAGTTACGACTCTGCTTTGCAGTGTTGTTGCGTTTTTTACACTCTCAAAATCTTCCACTACTATGTTTCACTTAAGACATTCTTTTGCAGTATTACGTATTTGCATTTCTGTGGGTCCTACAACAATGAATTTATTCCCATATTTCAAAATCAAAGGGAGGTTTGGAAAAACTCTGCTGTTCTTCAAATAATATCAATAAAGCCTAATTTTTGTTGTGGGTGCACGCAACCACAAGCAATGAGCCTTTTATTTGAGTCCAGCTTTGGTGTTTTACGCGGAATGGACCAAGAGTTCTTCGTTTTGTGTGCACCATATTCCTTTTTTTTTGGGGGGGGGGCACTTCCGGTGTGTACCGGCCAGCTGGTTTCTCGTCTAAAATGTGTACACTTTAAAATTTTTTAAAAAAACGCGCTCGTTATATTGTACAATGTGCTATGCTGCTTCGGGCGGCAGTGCGGTCAGCAGCAACTTCAATAACAATAATGTCAAGTAACCTTTATTTGCGCGAAAAAGGGGAAGTATGTGAATAAGAAAAAAAGAGGGAGATCATCTTCACACTAGGCGCGATAGAGAGGTACCAACACGTACGAGGAACACCTGCCAGCCATCCGCCCGGGAAGATTGGTCGACGCCAGCGCCACCGCATCATTTCACGCCGAAAGGGCCGCTCCCAGGTAGCTGCTCGCACCACTCAAAAGCTTCTAGTACACTCTAGTGTTATATCGAGTTCACGGGGTTTTTTTGCTTTTTTTTTATGGGCGAAGATCCTTATAGCGGCACCCGTTCGTCCCTCATAGCCGTAGTAGTAGTGTGTAACAAGCATAACATTTTGACCTCCAAGGTGGTGGCGGTCAGAGATTTCATCTGTGCGTTGTTGGACAATAAAAGATAGTGCTCATTGTACATGCCAATGACTGCTTAGGGGAAATGAGAGAGAAGAGAATTCCTCTTTTAGTTAACGCGCACGCTGCGAATTTTTTTACTTTTCAGCAACGCACAGAAGACAAGAAAGGGTTGTTACGTTATACTCGCTGGGCGGAACCTCCTAGGTTTTAGAAAGGCTTAGTAAGCATTAGGCCGCAGTGCCATGAATACAGTGAACTAGTATATACCATGAACTCGATGTGATTAAAGGTGGGAAGTAGACACGAAGCGCAAGCTGTAAGAAAGTGTGCGTGTGCCTCCTCTCGTTCAATCCTTGGAATGTCCGCTGGATGGCGGTGCTTCTATATGGGGAATATATGATAAAAAGATGCGACATGGTGGTACTTGGAGTGTTGAATAGGTGGACGAACGGACACGCAGACAGATGTATGGACGGACGCACGGATGGCTGCACGGACGAATGCACGCATGGACGGGCGCAGGAGCGGATGCATGGACGAAAGCAGGGACGGACGCACAGGTAAACGTGCAGACGTACGGACGGGGGGATAGACGCACGGGCGGCCACACAGACGCACGCATGGATGGACGGAAGCAAGAACGAATGGATGGACGGATGCTTCGCCTCACTATCCATCATTCACTCTATGGATATGCTGCCATTTTTTTTGTTAGCGTGCTTTGCCAAAGCTCGTTTAACTCGACTGTATAACGACAGGGAAGCTAAGTAGACGCACAGCCATGTTCCTCTGACTCGACTTCACAACAAAACGAGAGGTGCGTTGGTGGCAAACCACTTGGAAAGACTCAGCTGACATCGCAG